ACCACTATACATTATGTATAATATAGCATACTTGACATATTTGCGATTCTATACTATACATATATAATATAAATTCTAAAAACTCGGATCTATGATAGTTTATGTGTCGACCCTGACGCATTATCACCGATACACAAAATTCGTCGAATCAAGTAAAGACAGGAAGTTGTATGTTGTGTAATAAAAGTTTGATAAATATTTATTTATTATGCGTACGATTAATCATAAGATTTAATAATCCTTAAATAGAAATATATATGAGTGAAAGCATAACGATAAGATGATGGCATTGATAACAAAAATTGCTAACCGTTTTATGTTACCTGACCAGTTCATTAAGGGATCGAATTCAGTGTTACATATTCTGCTGTTCTCTAAGCCGGTTCCAGTAATGAACTACATTATAGAACTTTAAAAGATAATGATAAAACAATTTTAAACTTTATTAGATTGTCCAAATGAATTAAAAAAAAAAAAACATGTTTCAAGTTTTTTGCAATGTTGTCAAAGTGAGTCTATTTTTAACCATATATTAGATTATGTACTACTGTTTGTGCTACATTTATATCAAACTCTCATTTTGTAAGTTTCTTTCATCACTCTTGTTTTATATAAACTCGCGCTAATCACATACTGCCTTATTCTGTAATTGCATAAATGATCTTTTTTAAATAGTAATATATACCCATAGATTTTACAGATTTGATTGGGCATTGCCTAATATATACATATCGATAATTTATACATACGATAAATATAATTCTTGATTTTATGTAATTAAATACTGTAGTATCTACTGTATTAAAAAGTGTTATTGCAATATTTGAATGTGATGAAATGAAAATATATAGATTACGTAGAAATAGGAAACGCAAATAAATAAATAAAAAAATATAATAAATAATTCATAAATAATGTTGTTTATAAAATAATGAAAAAAATATTCTTTTTTTTCTAAAGTATTCTATACACTTACACACGTCCAGTATTTTGTGTATGACCAAATTTTTAAACCGAATGTATCACAAATCGCGAATTACCGAAGTGACTCATTTTGGAATAATAATTATGATCCGTATATGTGCATATATATAGACATTTTTTATTCATACTATCGTTATTATTAAGATCACAAACAGAATATAGTATTCATGTAAATATTTATATCAAGCTAGGAGTTTAGACTAGTATTATAAAATTTCTCATTTATTAGTTAGTTATATATACTATATTAATTAATTATATATCTTTTTCTTGAATTTCTTTTAACAGTAGAATTCTAAATAAAATACCGCGTTTACCCATATTTTTAGATAAGATACATTCATAAAAAGATCGACTAAATCAAAATAAAATTTAAATCTAAATTCAAATAATCCGGAACATCTTTAAATCCGAATGTAATATTGGTAACATGACAATGGTTCAGAAATGTGATTATAAAAAAGAATGCGAGTAAAAAAAAGAAAAATAAAAAATAAAAAATAAAAAAAAACGCCAAATAGCACAAAGCAATTTTTTCTAAATTTGGTTGAGTTAATGTTATATCACGAAAATTCTAATAGGTGACGAAATCTTAACACAAAGGAGTTGGGTAATATGTTTTTATTTCTGCATAGAAGTGTTATACAGTATGATGGCATAATTGCGCTGTTTACTTAATTATACTCATATAAATAGTAATCTAGTGATAATGTACACTGACAACTAGTTTCACAAAAGTTCTTTTTTAAAACGAATATTGATATCATATAATCTCTAATAATTTCTCTAAATAGTATTATTCAAAGACACTGTTAATGATAAATAGGTACTTTAAAGCTCCAGCCAAGACATTTTTAACAAGATACTGAATGCCTACAAATGCTCAAAACGTCAAAGGGCCCTGGAGCTCTGATGTAAATTTTTTTTTTTTATCATATTAATTACACTAATTGTATTTACTATATACTAAATGATATCATTCTAATCACGTGAACAGGAAGACTCTTTACTATTAAATTCTCTCGAAGAGATATTGCAGAGTGCTCGACGAAATAAAAAATCTCCCCAAATTTCGTGGACCGCAGTCGCACGAAGAGTACATACTAGAAGTTCAAAACAGTGCCGTGAAAGGTATATGTGAATTTAACGTTGTGCGTAATGTGAGATGCATATGTTAAATTTATTTATGTATATGTTAAATAATTTCTCATAATGCTTTGAAAAAAATAATTAATTAATTTTCATTTAAAACTAATAAACGTAATCAAATTTTTTATAATAGATATATAAACCATCTCGATGTTTCCAGTATGAATCATTATATTCATTCCTTTGATTTTTTTTTCTTCCTTTAGACTTCTTTTTAACTTTCTCATTTATAGTAAAAAAAGGACCTCTTACCGAAAAAGAACAAAGTATAATTCGTCGTCTACAACGTAAAACGACTTCATATGCCGTAATAGCAGGCAAACTTCCTGGTAGGACTCCTTTGCAAGTAAAGAACTTTATTTACCGAGAAAAATCAAAGGAGTCTGAAAGAATAAAATCCCAAATGTCTTTAACGAATATTATAAATCCGATGAATCGATGATATTCATTTCTTAGACTAAACCTCAAAAGACTTTATCATTTATCATTAATCATTTCTCAGATTGGATAGTCATACTGGATTCTGTCTTAATAATATCTAATTTTCATTAGTCAACCATCTCTATTATAAAGGTGCTCTTTCTGCAAATGCGATACGTCTCGGTTTCAAGTTCAGGAATTAATATAAACCTCCCTCTAAATGCGTTCGTACGTAGCGAGGGAAGATTATTTAGAGAAGGTTGACTCGTATGTATATTAATCAATTTTCAATTTTATTATTATCACTAATAAAGTTCGTTATTATTACTATTATACCAGCAATTTTGGTAGTATATATATATTTTGAAATACGTATTAGATATACAGTTTATATATTTATGATCAACTTACTGCAGTATTATATAACTTTAAATGCTGTATTTCATATAATTCATTTTTCTTTTCAACATTATACGTATAATTCGCTACTATTAGCAATATACAATTCGGCTGAAGTCCGGTAAGTTTTTAAACTAAAAAAAACGTGTCTAAACTGAAAAAAAATTAATTAAAAATAAATTTTATTAATTTTAGATGTATAATAATAATAATAATTAATAATTTCCTTGGATTTTTAATAAATTAGTTTTCACACCTGTATGTATATTATAATTTAATTTGTTTAAGGCAACTCTTTTTTTTTTTTTTTAGCATGATTTTTGTTTGATATATATAGCATACTGTATTATTATTTATCATTTAACAATTATAAAAATAAACACATATCTT